CTTCGTTGATTTCCCATTCTTCCTTCTTCTTCTTCATTCTCCATTTGATCTTCTTCTTCCGCTTCATCTCTTCTTAAGGTGAGAAAAAGTGAGAGTTCTTGGAGATTCCATGGAGGAGTGCCAACTTCCTTGTAGGAGTTCGGACAGAAAAAAATGCTACGGCAATCTTCGCGGTGGTGAGATTTTATTCCCCTTGTTTCTTTCTTCTACTTAGAAAGTCTTATCTAGGATGAATTAGAGTTATAAGTTAGGTTGATTTAAGAAAAATTCATAGGTCCTTTCTTTCTTGGCTCCCAATATCCATGCATTTTTCCAAAATTTTCCCCTGACCTATTTTGATTGAAGTTCTAGTAATATTGCATTTGTTTTGACGACTTCATCGATAATGTGTTTGAGCCATTACGCCTAAGAAATGAAAAAATTATATTAATTTTTTTATTCTTTAGGTCATGAGAGTTTTCTTCAAGAAAATCCCTCATTTAAGTCAAACAAATGGAGATGGGCATATTATTATGATGCATAATAAAATGTTGGTACATTTTACCATCCTTGAGCCTCAACCTATGAGAGTTCGCCTAACTAGGTTTATTTGCCAACAAGTAGGCTTAGGGTTTCATCTTCAAGTGCGTATTTGTACATTCTCATAAGCAAGTATAAATTTAAAATATTGCATGAAATGTATTTGTACTTTTGCTTGTGATTTAGGATGACATTTCTCATGAGTATGTGGATTATCATGGGCATATATAATTTTTGAAATATTGCATAAAACTATATTTTGTAGTGTACTTGTGATTCATATGTAAAAAAAATGTATTTTGCATCTTGCTTGCTATGCATATGTGAAAAATATGTAAAAAAAAATGTATTTTGCATCTTGCTTGCTATGCATATGTGAAAAATATATTTTTACGATTTGGCATTAAGCAAACGTAAAAATGTATCGTTGAGATTTTGCTTGCATTTAGCATAATGTGTCGTGTGCATATCATATTGTGCACTTGTACTCAAACATTTAATATTCCTACATTTAATATTCCTACATGAGCATATGTACATGAGCATATGTCATCATATGCTCATGTCAGATATTTACTTATCACATACACAACACTTTGTGCACTTGCATTCATACCATTTAATATTCCTGCATGGGCAAATGCCCCATATTCTTATATTGAATAGTGCACTTGCACTTGCATATTCAATGTCCTTATATGAGCTTCTATCTTCATATGCTCATGTCGGATATTTGTATATCCCATGAAGGGGCGGCTAGCACACAAATCCTACCCAGTGTACGATTCCACCTAGCATGAGTCATACCACCTAGTATAGGTCATGCCACCTAACACATGACTTCATCTAGCATATCATATCACTTCATCTTGGTGCATGACTTCACCTAACATGACTCATACAACCTAATACATAACTTCATCTAGCATATCATGTCACTTCACCTCGATGTATGATTCTATCTAGCATAAGTCATGTCACCTAGCATCTATGGCATCACCTAGTATTATCATAGACAGACCATGTTATGTCGCCACAATCATACCACCAAACATGATTCTTTACTTTATTGTTTTTTGGTTATTTTTTGTTTGCTTCCACGTATAATCTCTTCAACTCGTGTGATCACGCTTGGGAAGCAAATTACATATATTTCTACACGTTACTCGATGTGGATACTTCTACCCATCATCTAACATATCATCTTGTGTTTGTTATGAATATTCAATCCTAGCTTAAGCATCCATATCATACAAATCATTATTTGTGTTTGTTATGATTGCTCAAACCTAGCTTGAGCAGTATCATACAAAAACACTTTGCATTTTGTATCATCCTCACCTAGCATGCTACTGATGGAAAATCATCTTTTTAGATGAGACCGATGTTAGTTGCAATATTTTAATGAGCATTGCTCGTTGGTATATCACATTCAGCAACGTGAACTATAGCATTGTCATCAGCATGTGAATGATTGTGCCAAAGATCTAAGAAACTTAGAATTTATCATTTAGGTTATCAAAACATGCATATGCGGTCCAATTTTAAAATTATATATATATATATATATTGGCCATAAATAAAGTTGACCCTTAAAATATATTTTACTTAAAACCATCATCTCATAATGGCACATTACAACTTTCTTAGATCTTTACAATGGGACCAATCTTGGTAACCCATCAAAATAATACACCCAGTCATAGCCACATTTTTTTGCACAAATGTAGATGTATGTAATTAGGACACCTTGCTTTTAGATACTTATTTAGAATAAGGTAGGGTGGTGTAGTTAAGTGTTTCATATGCATGGTTATTATTCTATTATTTTCACCTTGTCAGGCATTTTATGTATTGCTTTTGTGTGCTTACTACGTGTGAGATCTGCACAGGGTGGTCTTCTAGTAGGGTGTCAAATTCAATAGGGAGGACTATCATAATTTTAACTAATTTCTTTCATAAATGCAATGCATAGGTCTACTCCCATCGGACATAATTCATTATATGTTGCATGATATAGCCTATGTTAACTTTTGATTACAGGTTGAGTTTTTTTTTTATTATTTTATATTTACTTTTTAGAAGTCATTGAATAGAGTATATATCGGAAGTAAAATACGAGCACGGGTTCACATGGCACTTCATGTATAAAACCATATGGCGAGAACCAGGAACAACATACCCACATTTTTGTTGCATAGACATTAGAATCAAGTATGTATATGTGGCGTTTGACCATATCATTTTGTCTTTCTGAAATATGTTACTGACCCAGCGGCCTCAACCTCCATTGTATATTATTTATCATATGGTAAGTCTATTTGATGTCGAGTGTTGAATTCTCTCTTTCTTATATTTAGGGATTGCCTAAGCTCTCCGCATTTGTGCTAAGGCACTTTAAGAAAAAATCCTAATAAAATTAAAAAAATTAAAAAAAAAATCCTAATAGAAGATTTAACTTAAGTAAAATTTTGGAATAAAATTTATATTCCTTTAAAATGAGCACTTTATTTCATGATTTACTTTTCTTGCATGGCCTTCAAGCCAGATTTAAAATGGCTTCATGTTGCATGAACATATCCCAAGTCATAATAATAGAAAATCCACATTAAAAACTTTCCTAAATAACTGCATAATATCTGCATGTCTTGATGAGGAGTACCCTTGCTCTTCCAAACTGACCGACCAAACATATGCTTACACGCTTATAAGGTTTTCTAGTACAACTAAGATGTTAGATGCTCCCCCAACCAAGATAGAGTGTAAATCTTTTGTGAGATTATTCTATTTGGTAGTCGGGTCATTCATTTCTCTTTCATTCCAGAGGCTTCATTGTCACTTTCTTGACATGTATAATTTCATTTCCACTAATTCATTCGAATAGGGTCATAAGGATATAAAATTTTCTTTCACTTGACTTTAGAGTTATTGAGGTTTCTTGGACGACGCAACACATGAGTTGTCAACAAGGGATCTCTGGTCGAGTTGGGTCGACTACCTCCACGACCCATTAGACTTGGATGTTTCTTAATAGTTTGGGATGGTGAATCCATGGAATCCTAGCTCGACTATATCAATGTGCTTCGAAATTCCTTACATATTTATTGATAACACTCCTTTAACACATCGTTGAGGTCATTTTATTGGCCCTATTTGCTGATGGATCGTCGCCCATTTGGGATGTGTTTATTCTCCCTCTACCAAATAGCCCTAGGTATGGCTTTGAAGCAATGGGGCAAACCTATTTTAGATTATAATATTAATCAATGATACTCGTTCACTAAATATTTAAATATAAGCAATACTCCTTTAATCGAGAGTATTTTTAGATATCCCCCAAAATGAAATTAACCAAAGGGGCACGTTCCTTTGGGAGTTACTCTTGACCTTAGAACATTGACCTTAGAACATTTGAGTCCTATACATGTTTACATACTCATATGTTCAAGAAGTATTGAAATAATTTTCCAGACACAACATTTCACTTGAGAATTCTTACATGGATGAGTGGGCTTCTACACTTAGAGACTAAATGTGAAACGATTATATCCGTGAAAGGGTTGGTGTAGCTCCAATGGAGGACAAAATTAGAGGGAATCGCCTTAGATGATTTTGTCACATTTAACATCGACCATCCAATGATTCAGTTAGAAGAGTAGATGTCTTTGATTCAATTTATGTTAAAAAAAGGTAGAAGTAGACCTAAAAAGACCTAGACATGTATAAAAAATAGACCTAGACATGTATAAAAAATTAAAAAGACCTAGACATGTATAAAAAATGATATTAATTTATTAGAATTAAATGAAAATATGACCCTCAATAAAACACAACAGAGAAAAAGAATTCAAGCAACCGACCCCGCATAGTGCGATAAAGGCTTATTGTTGTTGTAAACAACATTTCATTTAGATTATTATGATCGTAGGCATTTTCCTAGTTTCTTGTTTTGCATACCTAAAATGTGGTGTATACTTATAGTCTTAGTTTTCATTCATACTTAGATAGTCCATTGTACTATAATAAATGAGGATGAATATTATTGAGAGAATTCAAAATATTAATGTTTATATAACCGGCAGATTCGCCAATTTGAGTTCAACATATCGACATAGTTATGTGTTTAATAATAATTGGAAACTATCCAAAAATAAACAACTAGACGTACCAAATAGAATGTCCTTATAGATATGCGTCGCCGTTAGAAAAGATTTCTGACATGAAACAATGACTCTCTTGGGATGGTGCTTTATATTACTAAATATGACAGTATTCCCCTGGGTACTGCGTTATTTTGCAATTCTTTCATAAAAAAAAAATAGAGAATATAAAAAAGAATGTTTCCTTACACATATGAAATAAAACCATAAAAATAAAAAAATTCAATAGCTTGTAATATGAGATCCAATGCATGTAAAGCAGATGAGCAATTTATTGATGACAAATAAAATTAAATTGACAAGACAAATAAAACTTCCAACCTGCAAATGGTAAAGAATTTCATGATTCAATGGAAGCTTTCCTTCAATTACAAGTTCCAAATAATCCCTTATCTCACGAAGCCTAGCATCAAGGCCCTTTAACGCTGCAAGTTTACTCGTAACCTACACAAGTAAAAGCTGCATTACCAATAAATTATAGCTAATTTTTTTAGATCCAGCCTCATAAGAAAATTTAGAAAATACCTCTGTAGCAAGAGTACTAACAGTAGTATCTTTGACATCCCTCAACAAATGTTCGACTCCTGCAACAGATACGCAGAAGGTTTAATATATTGTAGTTGTGTGAAAAAATTATGATCTTTACAATAGAAAGGTATGCACACATCCTTCAAATCGTAAGTAAATGGAGCAGTTCATTATTTTATTTTTTTCCAAAAACAATAAACAATTGTAAAAATTAGCTGAAGATTTCAAATTCAGCAGCATCATGGGAATATACCAATTTCTTCGACTTCATGAGCAGCAATTTCAGAAGGCACGTGCACAAAAACCTTCTGACTTTTCTGGGTGGCATTCTGCAACCAAATCCAAATATCAACAATAAAATGGTTTTAATTATTAATCTGCTTCAGGATAAAGAAAAGAAAACATCAGAAGAAATTCTAATGCACTTGAATCAGCTCACCTCCTTAACCTCTTCAACAGCATAGTAAGCTTTGGTAGGTATTCCCAACTCTTTAGGTTGGACATCAATAATGACCAAGACAGGATTGTGCACATAACTGAAATAATAAAGTGAAAGGTGCAAAATCAGCATTAAGAAAATAATACTGTCCCTCAAAGTTATAAAGTGTAAGGTGTCAAATCAGTATTACAAAAATAATAGTCCCGAAAAGTTTACTCCTTAAATATCCAGTTAATAAAAACTCCACAAACTTGCCATAGAAGCAAGCAGAGTTATTGAACTCAAGTTATTTCTAAAATTAGAAGAGATTATTGAATAAAATACTTTTAATGCCTCTTTGTTAAATGGTCAAAAATAATAGATTGCTAATCAAAATAGAGATTTTCAAAGCCACCCGAGGTCACAAAAAACATTTCAACTGTTCAAGATACAAGATTCTTTTAAGCATAGACACACGTGCTAGCACAGCAACAAGCTTCAAGTGATCGAATTATTTTTTGTTTATTATTGTTGTAAAACAAACATGAACTGCTGAAAAAGATACAAAAGAGCACTAATCAAGACCTACTAAGAACTAAGAAAAAAAAAATTATTTGGTAAAAGAAAGGTACTACGGATCTTTAAACCCCCGGAAAAAAGAATTGATGAAGCAATCTTACTCGGTAAATAGAGCATGAACGTCCAAATCATTCTCACGCAGCTTTGGGCCTGTGCTATACCAACCAACAACATGTTCCTTTGCTAAAAGTTCACAGATAAAAATTTTCAGCATAAATGCCATGAAATAAAATTCATCAGTCCAAACAGCGCAATATTTCATTGATGACTAGCAATACCGTTTATTCTCTTGAACATAGAAAACATCGCCTCATGATAATTATGATCCAGGAACCAGATGCTTGAATCTGTCTCATCTTCTTCAAAAGGCACTGCAAAAATACCATTAAGGAAATACTAAGCCATTATGGTTGTATAGTCGGTATCCTATATCATATTAACCAAGTTAGCAATATTTTCAATAAGCTGAAATATTTTCTAGTTTATGGGGTCCTTTTAATAAATAATTCAATGTAATGGATAAAATTCCAAAGGGAAGTTTGAACAATTAAGACAAGATTGGTTGCAAAAGGCTTTACTCAAAAGGAAGTTATAGACTCTAACAAAACGTTTTCATCCGTCTCATAAAAAGACTCCCTCAAGGCAATATAGCACTAGTGAACCATGCTGATTCAAACTTACATCAAATGGACAATAAGAAAAAATTTTGAATGGTAACTAAAAAGAAAAAATTATCAAAAAAATTGGAAAGGATAATTTGATCTATATAATATGGAAGTTTATATGTGATTTGAAGCAGGCATCTTGCCAATGTTATTTAGATTCTGATAAAAAAAGTTAATTCCCTTGACAATAAGGAGCATAGATTTTATCAGTTTATAAGCCTCAAGATTAATGTGAGTAAATTTATTTCCAAGTCTTTTAAATCAACAGTATTCTACAATCTAATAGTGGCATGAGGTTGCTTGATAAAGCTATAAAGTTTCTCATACAAATGATATAGAAAATACTTCTTTTCTCAGGGGCCATTCAAATGCATTGTGATAAATCCTTAAATCCTACAGATTATTTGTACCGTCTCAGAGAGCTTATACAGATCATGTGTTATAGGTTTAACATGGAGGATTTCAAAACTGGAGATGAACTGATTGTGAAGGATGACAACCTGTGCCTTAGTCTCAAGATTATACAAACTAACATAACCTTTCAGTTAGAATTTTGGGATGATACCAGTCAAATTCAAAACAAGATCAATGGGTTGCTGCTAAGAAAGCGATGAAACAACAACAACAACAAAAAAGAATTGCACCTTTAATAATAAAGAAGTGGTTTGTTTGGAGTTAGTTGATTATTCATAATCTGATTTATTGTTTATAAAGATAAACTATTTTTATTTTGGGGGAGAGCAATTCGCCAACGGTTGCGTGATAGGTTTGCAAGTGATCCTAATGCACTTCTCACTAAATCATCATGATGGTTGTTATTGGTCATCTACTCCGATGGTTTTGTTAAGATGGGAGAAAAAACTTAATTTCTCGATTACAAAATGCCGACTTTATATCTATGCCAATATATATTTCATGTGATAATAAAGTTTGACCATTATTTTCAAGAAAAAATAACAGCAGTGATTCTAAACATACGTAAACCAAGTTTCTTATTATTAGAGATTGAGTTGAAAAAAAAAACGATATTTAGATCAATGACATTGATATAACATATTAGCTGGTTCATTATCAAAGCTTGGAGAACCGTTCTTCATAAAACATGTGATACCATGGGTTTATTTGAATCCTTTGATGTATTTTACACAATTTGTGTAAGGATAAGAAGAAAATTCATAAGAGAATAGGACATTTGTTCAAAACTATAAAACTTTAGAGAAAATTTAAAACTCAAGTAGTTTTGAACACACATCTTCTTCTATCGAGTTCATATCCCGACACAAATCATATCAGGATGCCTTGATACATTTTTACCTTATTAGTATGTTTTTGTTGAATGTTATATGCTTTTTTTTAATAAATATCAAATTGATCATGTTTTTTTAATGCATGAAACAGCTATGACTTCATGAAGACTTCTATTAATGTCATTTTAAGTAAGATCACATGCAGATGAATATGCCTCATGGTTGACACTGAATTTGGATAAATCTTAACATAGTGTTGAAGCCTCATGTTCTTTTCTTATTCATGATGCAGAAAAAAAGGAAGCATTGTTACAGTCATTGAAAATTTTATCAAGCCCTATTGTTAAGTCATTCTATACATGGTTAAAAAGACGCTGAAAAAAGTATGTTGGATCACAATTTCAATGTTATTTTCTTGCTAAAATAAAAATAGCAAGAAGTTAAAAAAATTACCTACATTTGTAATCAAGAAACAATTCATATTTATTAAAAGGCACACTGATTGCCATACTTTAATGTTAGAGATTTTTTATAAGATTAGGGCCGTTTGGCGCCACATTTTTAGCGCAGCGCGGCCCCACAAAAACACTTTTTTTGTTTGAAAAATGTGACACGGGGGCATTTTTAAGAAATTCGGACGAAACGAGGGTAGCAGGACCCCGCGGTCAGTGTTTCGTATTAATTTCTCACCTGTCTTTTACTACCTTATCCCCTCCCTCCCCTCTCTCGCGACTGAGCTTCTCCCTCCCCTCTCTCGCGACCGAGCTTCTCTCTCGTCACCCTAGAGGTAAGATCCCTGCTCGCCTCCTGCTCGCCTCCTCCCCCTGCTCGCCTCCTCCTGTCTGATCCACGGGTTGTGGTTCGTCCCTGTTTGGCTTCTTTGCTCTCCCTATACCCTCTATTTTTGTTGTTGCTTGGCTCCTTTGCTCTCCCTCGACCCATGGTATTCTCTACCACTATTCTCTGACATTATGATTTTACGATGATTTTCTGAGCTCCATGCGGTTGTTAATTTTCGTCTAATTGTTCACTATTATTTGATTTTGCAATTTTGCATTGGTGTTGGATTTCCTTTATTGTTGATAGGTTGATGGCTTTTAGTGTGAATTTGGTGGGGTTGTGGGGGTTGTGGTTGTGTTGTGAGGAGTACTTGTGTTGTGATTATGTTGTGGTTGTGATGTGGTGAGGACTACTTGTCCTGTGGCTTGTGTTGTGGTCGTTGTGGGTTGGGTGGTTGTGAGTTGGATGGATGTGTTGTGGGTTGTGGTGGTTGTGTTGTGGGCTGTGGTGGTTGTGTTGTGGGCTGTGGCGGCTGTGTTGATTGTTGGGTTGTTGTGGTGTTGTGTCTTGTGGTTTGGTGGCTGTAAAATGTGTGTGGAGGTTTGATTGGGTGTTTGTGGTGTGGTGACTGTGGGCTGAGTGGTTATGAAGTTGTCTTGTGGTGTGGTGGTTGTGGGTTATGTGCAGACATGTGGTTGGGTGGTTGTGGGCTGGGTGGTTGTATTATGGGTTGTGGTGGTTGTGTTGTGGGTTGTAGTGGCTGTGTTGTGGGCTGTAGTGGCTGTGTTGTGGGTTGTGTGGTTGTAGTGTTGTGGGTTGTGTGGTTGTAGTGTTGTGTCTTGTGGTGTGGTGGCTATGGGATGTGTGCAGAGAGGTGGCTGGGTGTTTGTGGTGTGGTGTTTGTGAGATTGTGTCTTGTGAAGTTGTGGTTGTGGGTTGTGTGTAGATATGTGGTTGAATGGTTGTGGTGTCGTTATTGTGGGTTGGGTGGTTGTGTTGTGGGTTGTAGTGGTTGTGTTGTGAGTTGGGGTGGTTGTGCTGTGGTATGGGTGTAAATTGGGCAACGTTTGATTTGTTTCCTTCCAAACAACTTCTACTTGAAAAGGGGTTGGGCAGTGTGGTATGTTTGTAAATGAAGCAAAGTTTTAATGTGATAAACTCCAAGGAATAAGAAAAAGATATTTATAAAATAGTTATTACAAATGATTGTGGTTGAAGGTGGTTGTGGTGCCTGTGGTTGTGTCGTGGAGATGTGGTTGTGTTGTGGAGGTGGTTTGTAATAAAATAGTTATTACAAACAATCCATATTCTTGTTCTATAGTTCCTTCTTACACAAAAATCCAGTCGAAAAGAATATGCATCAATAAAAAAAAACATCACTAAATTTCAGAAAAAAAAAAAGCCATGAAACCTTGCCATGAAACCTTAAAAATCGCACCCATGAAACCTTAAAAATCGCACTGTATTTATCTCCTAGAACAAAAATTCTAAGCAATTGAAAGCACGAGGATACAAACTTGATACATAGTAGAGGATCAAATAAAATATATGTAGAAGTCATACCAGCGTAGCTGTTGGATACATCGACGACAGCCCTGGAGGAGCTACCAAGAAGGACACCGACAACTCGCTTTCGGGGGTCGCGGGCGACCCTGTTGTAGTTGTCGACGATGCTCAAGAGAACGAGAGGGTGCACAATGACCTTCTCGATCGGCCGTGATGAGATCTGCTGCGTCTTTATGACATCCATAGTTGTCGCCGGCCTCGTCACAACCCTAGTTGCTTAAGCGGACTCCCGGAGTTCCGAGTACCAGAACAAATAATATCCGGACTGGCATTATACTTGAATTAAATAGTATAATAAATATTAAAATTATTTTAATATAATTTAAACTAAGGAATGATATAAATATTTGATAAAAAAAAAATAAGTTTTAAATATAAATAACATTTTTAATAATAAAGAATTTAAATTTTGATATAAAGCTCATTAAAGTATAATTATACATGTATTACAAATACATAAATAAATATTTATAATTATTAAATATGTTTGAAAATTTAAAATAACAACTATCATATAAATATATAATTATTAAAATAATTTAGTTGTTGAATTCAAAACTATCTGAGAAACACGTCTAAGGAATATAGCGCGAAAAAGAAAAAAAGAGCTAAGAAAACACCGCAATGAATAGTAAAATTACGAACGTTTATTCCTAAAATAAAATCCCTTTTATTTGTAGAAATGGGGACCATAAAATTACATATATACCCTAGTAAAGTAGGTACGGTATGTGGTATTTTTTGGGCAATACATAGTTGTAAGGTCGGAGCCTAAAATGGTCTAATCGGGTTATGATCCCGGTGGCCATGGTCGAAGGGCTGATCGGGAGGTGTCGGCTGCCTGTTTAAGAGTCGTGCGGCTCCTGCCATATGCCCGACCTAGATGAGGAGATCCGGTGGATTGTCCTTGCTAGGTTCATCATTGTGACTCTTTGGGAGAATTATTAACTTTTGTCGTCACGGTGTTAAGGTAAAGTTTCTGACTAACGTATGCATAGGGGTAGAGTCTCCGAGAAGTGTCTTAACCAGCATCTAAGTGCATAGGGTAAAGTCTCTGACTATCATATGACTTTGACGGGGTCGTCAAACCGGCCGCGTCATAAAGATCCAAGGTATCTAAAACATATCCAAAGAAACGCGTCTAATTTTCCTTTTTTTAATAGTTTTTTAATTTATTGTTACTGTTAATATTTTATAGAACATGTTCACATTAAACCATCTGGCAGACTCGTTACAAAAATAAATGATTTCAAGTATAAGAAAATATCGTACTAAGAAAATAAGATAAATGATTTCAAGTATAAGAAAATATCGTACTAAAATCAGTAATTTTTCTGGTTTAATTTTCTGGCCGGATGTTAATTTCATACGAGGAAGAGAAGATTTAACTGCTTCTTTTTTTGAATATGAAAATAAATGAGAAAATATAAAAATTATTTGCTTTTAGTACAAGTTGTTTTGTATTGCAGTAAGAAAACAGTTTTGTATTATAAAATAATAATTAAAATTTTTATTTGTTGTATGGTAAAATAATGTTGGGTAATAAACTTGAATTAAATGATTTCTTTTGTTATTCATTTAATCTATGCTTCTAAACTCCAAAATTTGGTATGTCATATTTGATTAACCGTTTGTTTGCGTATTTTTTAAAATACTGTCTGCTGCGTTTGAGTTTTTTACACTAAATGCAGGCTGCGAGTCGACCTGCGAGCCGCATTTCAGGATAAGCTGTTTATCCTAAAACGCACAAGCTGCATCAAACAGACCCTAAATTAGTAGACAATGCAATGAAAATTAAAAAATAAAAACAATGGAAGTATTAGAAACTATGATTAAAATCTATTTAAAATCTTTTTCTATCATATTTAAATATAGAATTATCTAACTATATTTTATAATAATTTACTTAAATTCTTTAATATGTATATTTCAAATGCTAATTAAATTTTTGGAGTAGAATGGGAATCGTTTTTGGCCGGTGCAGCACACTTTAGACTTGTTCAATAAAATTGTCAAAATTTTATAATCGTATAAAGTACTTCGTGTATAAAATATAAACTATTAAAATTTGAGCAAATATTTATGTCCAGAATTCATAATTATTTATAAATCTGAAATTTTACTCCCGCAATATATATCCCTCTCCAACGAAAAATTATCTCATACGGACACCGCATGCAGAGATGCATGTGGTATTCGATCCCCACTGTCGATCACCGCAAAGTCTTATTTCAGTGGCCCCAGTTTTAACATTTTTTTTTTAAATGATTGCAGTGATCGACAGTGGAGATCGGACATCACATACATCTCTCCATGCAGTGCCGTATGAAATATATTCCCTCTCCAACATAGCTTCATGTTATTCATGTATGGAGTATATTCCCTCCCCAACATAGCTTCATGCAGTGTCCATATAGATATAACTTCATGTAAATTATGAGCATTTACCTCTCACGCCTAAACTTTCATATTTACACGCATTGCGTTTCTACCTTTAATAGCACTATTGTTGCTAAAAAAGTGAAAAACACTTCTTCATTCATAGATCTAAACGCCACTATAAAACGCCACTATATTCTAAACGCCACTATATGCAAATAATAAAGTTTAGTTGTGAGATATGTAAATACATAAGAATTGTGTGCTACTAATGTAAATTCCCCTGATTAATTTATGTTTTTGCACTATATAAAAGAACATTTTTGGAGCTCTTCATGCACATCTGACGTCGAAGCGTTTTAGCTTGTCATGAAGATCACACGGGCACTCAACGCTTTAAATTGAATTGTCGAGTTCAAATTAGTTAGTACTTTTCACAACATGGATGCACCGACAATCATTCGGGCCAATATTTATGCTTGAGGAAAGATACTTTTGATTAAGCACAAACAATTCTTTGCTTTTTGGTTTTGGCACATTACATGCATATATACCACACTACAAATACATCAAAATTTTGATTTTAATATTTATACTGCCCAAAGTTTTCATATCACATTAAAACTACTATAATTTCTATTTTTAACAAGTGATATATCTTTTCATGCGTTAATAAGATGATATTTAAATAAAAATTTAAATAATAGATATTAGATGTAAAAATACGTAGAATTGATATTAAAGTTATACCGATGGCTCTTCTAAATTCATCCTCTCACGCCTAAACTTTCATATTTACACGCATTGCATTTCTATCTTTAATAGCACTATTGTTGCTAAAAAAAGTGAAAAACACTTCTTCATTCATAGATCTAAACGCCACTATATGCAAATAATAAAGTTTAGTTGTGAGATATGTAAATACATAAGAATTGTGTGCTACTAATGTAAATTCCCCTGATTAATTTATGTTTTTGCACTATATAAAAGAACATTTTTGGAGCTCTTCATGCACATCTCACGTCGAAGCGTTTTAGCTTGTCATGAAGATCACACGGGCACTCAACGCTTTAAATTGAATTGTCGAGTTCAAATTAGTTAGTACTTTTCACAACATGGATGCACCGACAATCATTCGGGCCAATATTTATGCTTGAGGAAAGATACTTTTGATTAAGCACAAACAATTCTTTGCTTTTTGGTTTTGGCACATTACATGCATATATACCACACTACAAATACATCAAAATTTTGATTTTAATATTTATACTGCCCAAAGTTTTCATATCACATTAAAACTACTATAATTTCTATTTTTAACAAGTGATATATCTTTTCATGCGTTAATAAGATGATATTTAAATAAAAATTTAAATAATAGATATTAGATGTAAAAATACGTAGAATTGATATTAAA